GCACATTAAAGTTTGAGAAGCACTGCCTTTAATCTTTCATCTTTATCAAACATGATAACTTTGATATAAAACATATTTTTCTATATTTGAGGACTTGATTCTACCATACCTGATCCTTCTGAATAACTTCTTTGGGATTTCCAATGTTTGAAGTGTATATTAAAGTTTTTCCAGTCCCTTGAAAGCTCTTTAAAATGCAACGCCTTTACCTGCACTTTATCATAATTACAGCTCAATTGCAGTGACAAAAGGCTCACGAAAACTACTGTTCTGTAAAATGCAAATTTTGTATGGGAAATACTTCCCCTGGGAGAAAATAAAGTGGCTGTCATTCGAAAAGTTATTTTTAAAGGAAAGTACCTAGTGCCTCCTGTACTTTAAAGTTTTGTCAAAAACTTCAAGGAATAGAGGACCCTTTGTGAAAGAGCAACACATACACAGAAAGATACTTCAAAATGTAACGGAAGTTCCATACTTAACAAAATGTCAAAGACAAGTAGTTCAATAGTTGCTTATATACCTTTTATATTGGCATGTGATTTTACTTTTGGTATCCACTCATCTTCATTTCATTGCTAACACAAGGATTAATCTAAGGTTATAAAACTTAATTTTTCACATAGTATATCAGTTAGCTTTTACTCCATAATAAGCAACTCCCAAACTCAATGCTTTAAGGGAGCAATGATTTATTCTTGTTCTTATGTCTATGTGTTGGCTGGGGTGGCTTTGATGACCTCCTGGGATCAATAGGCTTGGCTAAAGATTGGATCTGAGTCTGTTCCTCGGGTCAGTGGGCTGCCTGTGGCATGTTCTCATAGTGAATGGCAAATATAAATGGACCAGCCCAACTCCATAAACATATTTCAAGTCCCTTATGTAGCTCTTCTATTAATAACATCCCATAAGCCAAAGCAAGTTACATGGCCAAATCCAAACCAAGGGTTCATTAATGCTATTGCCTGGATGTTTGTGTCCTCTCAAAATCCATGTGTTGAAACCTAACCCCTGAAGTGGTGATATGAGGAGGTAAGGCCTCTGGGAGGTAATTAGGTCAGAAAGGCTCCACTCTCTTGATTGGGATTAGTGCCCCTTTAAAGGAGGCTCCAGTGAGATCCTTCTCCATGTGAGGACACATGAGAAGTCTGCAGCAGCCTTTCACCACAACCAACTATGCTGGCACTCTGATCTTGGACTCTTGGCCTCCAGAGCTGTGGGAAATACATTTCTGTTTATAAACTTCCCAGTATTTGGGATTTTTGTTATACTAGCCAGAGACAGAGAAGTGTGCCCCACCAACCATAAGGCAAGTGACATGACCAAGCCCAACTTCAGTGGGGTGAGGCAGTGCACTCCTCCCAGAGTTAGGGGGATAAGGGAGTGAATATTTGCAGAAAAATAATCTCTTTTACTATGAGTAGAAAAATTGAGGCACAGCATTTTGCAAAATAAATCATTGGTGCTGATATGCAAATGCTTTCCGTATTCCAAGAGAAAAAGGAGGACATTGAGGCCCTATAGTTACCAAGCATTCTGCTGAGAATTTCCTTGTGTGTTACTTCATTGAATCTTTTATCTTTTTAAAAATATTTATTTATTTATTTGTCTTGCTGGGTCATTGCTGCCTCACACCAGCTTTCTCTAGGTTCAGTGAGTGGGGGCTACTCTTTGCTGCAGTGCATGGGCTTCTCATTGCGGTGGTTTTGCTTGTTGCGGAGCACGGGCTCTAGGCGTGGGCTCAGTAGTTGTGGCGCATAGTTGCTCCATGGCAGGCGGGATCTTCCTGGAGCAGGGATCAAACCAGTGTTGCAAGGTGGATTCTTAACCACTGGACCACCAGGGAAGCCCTTCACGGAACCTTTTAACAAGCCATGATGAAGCTATTTTGACTCCATTTTACAGATGAGGTGATAGGTCACCAAGCTGGCATGTGGGATGTCAGAGTAGAGCTCAGTGTTTTCTGGAAGCCTTCAAATGCTATGAATACTGGGTCACTTTTTTTTTTTTGGCATGGCAAATCAAGCTCTTATTTCTTAGGGGAAAATACTATCTTTGCTCTGTTCCTATTTATCCTGGATACAAGAAGAGCTGTAAATTTTCTATGAGTTTAATTGCCTTTCACTCTTGACACTCAAATTGTTGATTCAGACTGGTTCTCTTGAATACTTGGAGTGTCAACACACATTGGCTGCTCAATACAAGTTTTCTGAGCTTCTGGGTCAGGGTAGCCAAATGCTTGGGTAACTGGAGTGTGTCTGAACCCTCTTAGCTGTTTCCATGTCTTGCTGTCCTATGGGAATGTGGTTGGGGACGGGAGGCAGTGTAGAGAAGTCAGGAATTCTGGTCTGGAAATGCTGCCCAGAGAATCTCTCAGAGGATCTCCTGGTGGTGTTCTCCCCGCCAGCCCCATCTGAAATGCCCCACCAACCTAAGTGTTAACTTGCTGTGAATGTTTAGCAAATATTGTGCCAGGCACATTAATGGGAGCGTTGTTGTTGTTGTTCACTCACCTAGTCGTGTCCACTCTTTGCAACCCCATGGACTACAGCACGCCAGCCCTCCCTGTCCCTCACCTTCTCCTGAAGTTTGCCCAAGTCCATGTCCATTGCATCAGTGATGCCATCCAGCCATCTCATCCTCTGACGCCCTCCTTTCCCTCCACCCCCAATCCTTCCCAGCATCAGGGACTTTTCCAATGAGTCATCTGTTTACATCAGATGACCAAAATTCTGGAGTTTCAGCTTCAGCATCAGTCCTTCCAATGAGTATTCAGTGTTGATTTCCTTTAGGATGGACTGGTTTGATATCCTTGCTGTCCAAGGAATTCTAAAGAGTCTTCTCCAACACTACAATTCGAAAGCATCAGTTCTTCAGCGCTCAGCCTTCTTTATGGTCCACCTCTCACATCTGTACATGACTACTGGAAAATCCACAGATTTGACTCTACACACCTTTTTCAGCAAAGTGATGTCTCTGCTTTTTAATACTTAGGAACCCCCAAGTGATGAATGGACTTGGAAAACATTGAGCCCAGTGCCTGGTACATAGCAGGGGCTCATCTAAGGTAACCTGCTTCCCTTCCCCCACTCCCTCCCTCCCCATTCCTCACGGACACAGCAGATGATGGGTCAAAGCATGAACTACCAACCTGGCCCCAGTCCGGTCCTGCTCGTTACCTGCTGTATGATACTGGGCAGGTCAGGTTCACTATCCTCTGAACTTCTCTTTGCTCCTCTGTGAATCATGGTTTGGGGACAGCATGCTTTCAAAGGGCCCTTTCAACTCTAATATTCTATGATTTTATCATATAAGATTTAATAGAACTGCTTTTTCCTGGAAGCTCACACCTTTGCAATGTTTACACACAGGAATCAAAATATAAAGCAAAGGGTGCCAACTGCCCAAAGAAGAAATGCCCGAGGGTGTTCAAAAGGACCTCCATCCACTTAGCCTCTTATCATCTGACCTGCCTGCCAGGCGCTAAGTGCCTCCATAGAAGCTCCCAGTTGCCGGCCCCCCTCAGAAGCCAGGTTTCCTGTAGTGGCCCCACTAACTCACGACTTGTCAGACCCCAGCTATGCAGTTGTTGGTAGGGAGGGTGGAATTCTTTCCAGCCTCATGATGGAAATTTCAAGAAAATCATGTGAGACCTTCACAGGGAGCTGCACCCTCACCACCGCAAATGGTATCATGGCAAAGACAAATATGTAACATTTCAGAACTTGGGAGCGACCCACGCTCAGAAAGGGAGCAATCTGGCTGATGCATGGCCATCCTGTGGTCNTCATCTTTCAGGATTTGAAATGGCTCAACTGGAATTCCATCACCTCCACTAGCTTTGTTTGTAGTGATGCTTTCTAAGGCCCACCTGACTTCACATTCCAGGATGTCTGGCTCTAGGGTAAGTGATCACACCATCGTGATTATCTGGATCGTGAAGATCTTTTTTGTACAGTTCTTCTGTGTATTCTTGCCACCTCTTCTTAATACCTTCTGCTCTGTTAGGTCCAAACCATTTCTGTCCTTTATCGAGCCCATCTTTGCATGAAATGCAAATGAAATAGTTCTCTTGCTATACAATAAATCCTTGTTGTTTATTTTATATACAGTGATTTGTGTCTGTTAATACCAAACTCCTAATTTATCCTTCCCCACCTCTTCCTTCGGTAACCATAAATTTGGCTTCTATGTCTGTGAATCTGTTTCATTACTTAGTTGATTTGCATCATTTTCTTTTGATTCCACATGTAAGCGACATCATATGATATTTGTCTTTCTTTGTCTGACTTACTTCACTCGGTATGACCATCTCTAGGCCCATCCACGTTGCTGCTGTTTTATTCCCTCACTCATTGCATGTTTGTTGTGGGTTCCTACTCCCATCCGGGGATGGAAGGGGCTAGTGTGTGGGCAGGCCAGGCTCAGAGGACCAACAACTGCCTCTGAGCCTGTGAAAGACTCTGAGAGAGTCACTGCCCTGCTTCCCACTCAGCCACACAGTCCCCGCGGAGGTGGGAGCGGCTTTTCCACAGGTGTCCAGGCTTCCCTCCGGGGTCTAACTCGGTTCTCAAACTCGGCACCGTTGACATTTTGAGTTGGATGCTTCTTTGTTTTGGGAGGTACTGTCCTGTGCACTAGAGGCTGTTTATCAGCATCCCTGGCCGCTGTTGACTCTGTGCGTGTCCTGCCCCCAAGTTGTGACAATGTCCCCTGAGGCACAAAAATCACACTGCCCCTCCTCCTGCTTTGAGAATGCTCGTCTTATCTGAGTGACCCCTCAATAGAGGTGGTCCTGGGCGATTCAGTTCTCAGGAAGACAAGCAGTGGAGAGGTGAGTGGTAGAACCAGAAGGAACATGGGGTATGGGGCAACCATGGCTTTGAGTCTTGGCCCTGCCAATGACTAGCCATTGACTTCCCGACCCCGTCTTCATTCCCAGTCTTCTGTAACCAAAAAAACCAAAACCAAAACCAAACAAAAAAATCACACACCCACAAACATTATTTTCATAAATGACTTTTACTTCTGTATCATTTTTCTTGACAGTAATTCTTGGCAATGTGCATATAACATGAAGGCAAGCATACTTTCAGAAGTCATCAAAGATATGGTCCTATTGACCTCATTTTCTTAAACCATTAAAATATTTTCATTTATAAAAATTAATCTAAATATAAATATTGACACTGAAGATCAAAATCACTTGATGACAAAATAATTTTTCTGGAACTATAACATATGCTTATGGATTTTAATAGTAAATTAAATCTTTGCACTTATTTGGCACAAGGAAACCTTATAAAAATTCAAATGCCATAGAGCAGGCTTCTTCTTTTTTTTTGCAAGGCTTACACAGTACACATTTTTGTCAAGGAAAACTGAATATTTTAACACTGTAACACAACAGTAGTTGCTTTTCATGCCTCTTAAAGAAAACGCTCTATTTGGAACTCAGATCTTTTTTGTTGTGTTTTTAAATTGTGTATTTGTTTGCTTTTAACCACACCAACAGAACAAAAAGCCAAAGATTTACTTTATTTCAAAGGACTCATTTCTGTTGGATAACACATACACAGCATCAGCAAGGAATATTACTGGAAGATAGGTAGACCCCCATCAGGAATGGATCATAACACATATTTCAGCAGCAAGTCAGGTCTGGAAATGTGCACAGCAGCAAAAGAACATAGAAGTTGAAAACAACACAGAATGAGGCTTTGTCAGGCATTCAAATTATACTTAGCTTAACGGTCTGATTTTGGCAAATTAATCACTCTGGCCCTCAGTCTCCTCATCTGAAAAATGGGGATACCTACTGAATAGGGTTGCTATAAGGATTAGAATGATAAGTCTATCGCCTCCTTCAGAGCGGTCCCTTAATAAACATCAGTCATGCTATTCCCTTACTTCCCATCTTGTACCTTCTTCCTCAGATTCAAAATATACAAGGAGAAAATTTTTAAAAAGGTTGCTAATACTCAGTTAATTGAGTGAAATTCCAATTCCATTTGCTTTTATAAACATACTCTAAATAGTCATGCGTTTGAGACCACACAAGGGAGTTAGCTTCAACTCTTGCGTCTGTTGAATTCAGAGTTTGTCTTTGCTTTATTCAGACATGAGAGTTTTCTCAGGCTATTCCTTAACCATTTTTATCTTTAGGGTCATCTTACTACTTCGGCTGAATATTTATTGGGAGGTAAATTTTGGAGTACAGCATTTCCTTATGTGGTTGTATTCCGCAGTCATCCAGTTACCTAAAACTTCATTTAGATGCAGTCATTGCTAAACCACATCTTACTGATTCTGGACAATGCACTAAAGTTAAGCCAATGGTGGGCTTTCTCAAGCCCCTCTCCCCTTCAGAGCGGGGAGATTCAGAGAGTCCAAGGAAGAGCCCTGAATTCTTGATGAGACATTGTTTCAGACAGACCTGGGCATGGCGTGGGTGAGTGAGAGCTTTCCGTCCTGTGGCTTCTGACTGTAAAGTGATGGGAGGAACTGGTGGGGTGGTGGGCGAGAAGCCAGCAGGAACAAGGTGGCTGGAGGGAGACTTTTGACAGGTGAGGGCTCCCCGAGTTAAACAGTCCCCAGTGCTCACTACAGGGGCGTTTCACTTTTCTCCTAAGCATTTGTAGGACAGACATGCCTATGAGAGAGTAATGAGAACTGATGACTTAAATGTTAATAAGCTTCCCTCCACCATCTCCTGACCCCAGCACTGTATTTTGGGACAAATTGTTGACATGTAATTCTAGTTGAATCAAAAGGGTAAAAAAAAAAAAAAAGGTCTTAAAGACAGTACACAGTAGCAAAGTGAACAGGGAAAGGATGCATCTTTTGAACATGGAGCTCAGCTGTTGGAAGCCAGCGTCTTGGTTTTCTGTCTTGGATTCCCCTGGGAGCCTAAGGCAGAGCGTAGGCAAGACCTTGATACTGAAGTCTGGGTCTGCTTTCCGGCTGAGGTATCAGGACAGCCCTGTGCAGGGGCGCGCTGTGGCCTCCCCAGGCCCTCTCCTCAGGTGGAAATCTGTACAGTAATTCGATGGCTGTTGGGTCAAGGCACTGTTGTGTACGGCCGGAGGCAGTGGGTCACTGGTAGAAGAGTGCCATGGTGCTAATACATCACAGCAGACTCCAGGGTGGGCTCCTGCGGGGAGAAAGCGTGCAGGTGCAGTCAGCCCCTTGGTGAGAGCACAGACAGGCCATTAACAACGTCCGCTGCTTTTTTGTGTCATAAAAGGTGTTCGTGCCCTTTGCCCAGTGAAATCGTTCACAGTATGCAAAGAGTGATGCATTTCTTACATGTACTTCTTAATCCATCTGAAATTCATTTTGGTATATGGAATAAGACAGAACTGATTCCCTTCCGACTACATCCCATTGGCTAATTTGCCAAGCACATTTTTTTTTAATTATCTATACCTTCTCTACTGGTTCCTAGGGCTTTAAAAAATCATAAAACAGATTTTCATATGTGTCTGTGTCTATTTCTGAGCTTTCTATTCTATTTCATTAACCCTCAATTTCTTTACAGTTTTTTGTTTATTTTAAAATCTGGCAGGAAAACCATTTTAACTTTGCAAATTGCCCTTGTCTATTCTTTCATATTTATTCCTGTATGAACTTTACCTCCAAGAAAACCTCACTAAGAATTTTATGAGAATTAGATTAAACTATAAATTAATTTGGAAAGAAATGAATTTTTTGTGGGATTTATTAATCATTATCTCAGTATTAAAGGTCTCGTTGCATTCCTGTAAAATTTATCTGGTAATTTATTACTTAAAGTACCCCTGCATTTAATTTGCTAATATTTTATTTAGCATGCCTCACCTTTCTGAAGAAGCACTACTGGTGTGTGATTTGTATGTGTCTGTGCATGTGAGTGAGCATGGAGATGTGTACACACTTGCCAGCCTCATCAGGCTTTGCTTGTTGGGGTTTTAACAGTTTCAGAACATGTGAGATCTTGAGGATTGGGGTCACAGAGGGTAGTTTTATACTTTCTACCTGTGGGAATTTATTGAGGCTTTCTTTGTAGTTGGTGTAAAATCAGTTTTTATAAATGACCCATTGATGTTTGGAAAGAAAGTGAACTCTGTTAAGTATAAAGTTAGATATGTTTTTTAGAGATATTTCTTAATTAAAGCTTAGTAATTACACTATTCCAAATTATCTAATTTGTGTGTATTTCTGGTGTACTGAGCTTCCAAGGGCTGATTAAGGGAATTTTAAAGTCATTAACCATGGCGCATTAAATTGCGTTGTTTGCCAGTCCAAGAAAGGCTCGTGACTGCCTTTATTTTATCAATATCTAAAACATCCTCCCTCCCTGTTTCTTCCATGTGCTTCCTGCCTTGAATTCTACTTTGTATGAAAGTAACATTCCTGCCCTTTATTTTTTGTTTCCATTTATTTAGCAAATATTGTCTATCCTTTCATTTTTAACCTTTCTGTGTTATTTAAAGTTAATTTATTTAAATAAACAATTTACTGAGGTGAAATTCACAAGCATAAAATTAACCATTTAAAAATGAACAATTCAGCAGCATTTAGTACATTCCCAATGTTACATAGCCACCAACTCAGTCAAGTTTCAAAACATACCCTCTATGGTAAAACCCCTTATCCTTACGCATTTCTTTCTATGCTCCCTCCTCAGAGCCCCTGGCAACCACTTATCTATGTTCTATCTCTATGGAAGGTAATTTATTGTTTGTNCATTATCAGTATCCCTGAGGCAGTTCAGCTGGATCTTTACCTCCCATGTAAGCAGCATCGAGCATTTACAAAATTCTGAAGCACATGTTGGTGTTAGGGTAATAATCCCTTAGCCCTCTTACATGATCTCCAGGTTTATGCAAATTATCCGTTATCCCTTCCTTTGCCACATTTATGGGCAGCTGCTGACTTTTTTTTTTCCTTCAGAAAAACAAGTAATTAATGGCTAACAAGAAATTTAAGGAAGAATGAATATGAACCAAAAACAGAATAAAAACTTGTACACCTCAATCAGACCTTACATTTTGTCTACATATTTTTATTTCTATTATATTAAACCTGGTTCCTAAAAGGAGTTGGAGATAGAGCTGAGAGAATGTATCCACATACCTAGAAGTTTAGCAACATAAGGAACCCTGTCACTTGACCAACAGACCATGCAGGAAGTTCTGACTGGGGATCTACAGAAAGAATGGCTGCAGATTGGAGGTGCCATCAATAGTGAAAGTAACTGGCATTAAGACAGAGATGACTTACTATCAAATCCTTGGGGGTGCTATTCCTTTCTTTAGTCCCGTTCGTTGAGGAGTCTTGGAGAATGAAGTTGCGGTTAAATGTTTTAATGGTGGTTGTTGAAGATGCCTCAATTTTTTCAGCTAAAAGGAAACACACAGGCATAAATATCATCTGGAAGCTGGACTGATGGTTAAGGAAGAAAGAGCAGCTGTCCAGTTTACCCAGATTTTTGTTCTAGACTTGGCATCTCATTCTGGGTCCACAGGTCTGACTGTGGAAACGCTTTCTTCTGTTTTTTTATTTTGGGGTAGATCAAATAAACCAAGGCATCATCCATTGGTGGCTTTCTGGCAAAAAGGTAGCTTGGAGAGAATCCAATACAGTCTACTACTCTTATTTGCAATTCTGAAATATAAAAGGCTCAAAAAAAAAAAAAAAGGCAAATCTTTATGACTTTGGAGTCAAAACTGCCTAATGGCAAAACCTGACGTAAGCTGACAAGTGGCCGTTGCAGGTCCTTGTCCCACCCGCAGAGCATGAGCATTCTCATTCTTAGCTGCAGAGTTACTGATGTGTTTATCACCACGGGGAGGGGGCTGTCAGGAAGTACACAGCACACATACCACATTACCTTTCTAAGGTACAAATGATTCTGAAACACATATAGACCCAAGGGTTTCAAAATAAGAGTTTATGGATTTGCAGTATATTTTAATTGTTTAGGGCTCTGTGGAATATAAAGTAGGCATTCAGTAAACGTTTGCTGAACAATGAAGGGTGAAGCCAGAACTCAAACATGTATCCACTGACTTTCTACTCTTTTACTTTGTAGGTCTAAACTTCTAGTTTGGCATCCTCACTCTGTGGCTTCTGAATCCAGGGAGATGGTTGAAAACGACCAGTAGATAAGGGTGATGGGACTGGCATTACTGGAATCCCTCTAAGTTGGGCCCTGAGTTAGATACTTTCGGCGTGTGCTCACACCTCCCTGACAGTCACCATCCCAGCCCACTCTGACAGCATTCTGCTGCAGGCACCACCACTCTCTCTTAGCCCATGAGTGATGGGGCGGATCAGAAGTAACAGGGAGTTAATGTTCCTTATCAAAATAAGCTTCAAGCAAAGATGAGAGTTGAAAAACCTCATCTTCCTAATTCTTTGAGCAGGAAAGTGTGAGGTACGGTTAATACTGTCTCCCAGAAGTCCCCATCAGGGTTTAAGTATCATTTGCACAAAGAAGCAAACTATTAATACTAATCAAAGTACACCGTATTGGCTTAATTTCCTTCCCTGAATCATTTCTCTCTTCCCATATCCGTGTTTCTTGGAGTTATCTCCCATATCACATCCTTGTCCCAGGGTCTGCCTCTTGGAGGAATCCAAATCAAGACAGACTCTCCACAAGGGTAATTCTGGGTGAGAACACCCCATTAGATCTGGTCCTCAAACTCAGAGCTCTGAGTTACTCTAGGTGAGTGGGTCAGGCTTGATTCTTGGGCGGCTCTGTGGTCTGATGGAAGCATACCTTTCACGGGCGGAGCAGGCAGTTTCCTCCTCTGCTGCCTCGATGTGTCTATGGTTTGTACCTGCAGACAGGACACAGGCATCAGCACGCCGTTGTGGAGCCACAGGGGTTTTAGCTTCTGCATTTTCCAGGTCATGCGGTTTTCCAGCAGACGGAGCGAGGGGCGGACTCACCTGGTTCCTTTGCTTCTGGGTTCGTTTTCTGGTGAGGCGCCCACAGGGTGCTATGTTCAACCCTGCATGGGTCAGGGCTGAAATCCGGCTCTCAATATCAGAAATCTTAATGCAACAGAAAGACAGAATCAGTAAGCACAAAGTCCAGGAGGAGAGAATCTTTATTAACAGTGTTATGAACCTATGGAAAACAAATCTGCTTTGACATATGCTCATTCATTCATTCAACTTCCACCAGGCACGTCTCCACCTGGTACTGTAGTGAAGAAAATAAGCCACGGCTCCCTCTTTGTAAATATAATTTTCCAGTTGTTAGCTCTCGAGCATGTCACCCCAGTCAGAGGTCCCTGAGGGATAAATGGAAGCCTGGGGCATGATGGGAACCCTGGTCCAGGGCCACCGGGCTCAGCATAGGGGTGGGGTGGGGTCAAGGAAGGTTTCCCTGGGAGGCAACATGCTGTGAGTTTTGAAAGGCAAGTAGGAGCTGGGGATCCGCCTTCCTTCTTCCATGACTCCCAGAGTCCAAAATCACACCACCAGGTCTTAGGTGGGAGGCCCAGCAGCATCTGGTTCAAGTCCGTTTCCTCTATGAAGAGGCCAAGTGGCTTTGAGAAACTCCCTCCAGTCTCTGGGCATCGGTTTCCTTCACTATAACATCGTAAGGTCAGAAGGAGCTCAGGTTTCTTCTCCAGTAATGTCTTAAGGTAGATACGGAGAACAGGTGTCCACTCAGTGCCAGGAAAGAATTCCCGTCTGTCCATGTCCCCAGGGGTGAAGAAAACATGGTCCCTGCTCTTAGAAAAGGGTATCACTTATGTGCCATCACCATGCTGAGCGCTTTAAATATGTGAACTCACTCATGCTTCGGTCACAATCCTGTGATGCAGGCACCGTCCTCTTGGTTTTACAGACAAGGAAACTGTGACTCAGAGGGATGAATGACGCACCGAACATCTCACAGCAGAGCTCAGAATTAATGCCAGTGCCCATGCCTTCACCATGCTGTCCCATCCTTGGGCGCCTTGCCAAGACCTGGCATGGGGAACCCTGGAGGAGGCAGGAGGATGCTGGCAGAGCTGAGGGAGGAGGCTGGGGCAACAGCCATTTCACTGCGATGACGCAGCCTGAGTGTGCTGGGGCATCAGACCGGAGACCTGAAAGCGGGCCCAGCCCAGTGTGTGTGCCCTCCACCCCGACGTCTTCACTGCCTTCCCTGTGTCAGTTGCTCAGTCATGTCCGACTCTTTGTGACCCCATGGACTGTACCCCGCCAGGCTCCTCTCTCCATAGAATTCTCTAGGCAAGAGTACTGGAGCAATAGCTAGGACGTGGAAGTAACCTATAGGTCCATCAGCAGACAAATGGATAAGGAAGTTGTGGTACATATACACAATGGAATGTTACTCAGCTATAAAAAAGAATGCATTTGAGTCAATTCTAATGAGGTGGATGAAACTGGAGCCTATTATACAGAGTGAAGTAGGTCAGAAAGAGAAACACCAATACAGTATATTAACACATATATATGGAATTTAGAAAGTCAGTAACGATGATTCTATATGCAAGGCAGCAAAAGAGACAGAGATGTAAAGAACAGACTTTTGGACTCTGTGGGAGAAGGTGAGGGTTGGATGATTTGAGAGAATAGCATTGAAACATGTATATTACCATATGTGAAATGGATGACCAGTGCAAGTTGGATGCATGAAGCAGGGCACTCAAAGCTGGTGCTCTGGGACAAGCCTGAGGGATGGGGTGGGGAAGGAGGGAGGGGGTTCAGGATGGGGGGACACATGTGCACCCATGGCTGATTCATGTCGATGTGTGGCAGAAACCACCACAATACTGTAAAGTAATTATTCTCCAATTAAAATAAATTAACTAAGAAAAAAAGAATACTGGAGTGGGTACTGAGGTAGGTACTGAAGATCTCCAGGGGGTCTTCCCGACCCAGGGATTGAACCTGGGTCTCTTGCATTGCAAGCAGATTCTACCATATGAGCCACCTGGAAAACCCATTGCCTCTCCTGTCCCTAAGCTATTTCGTGCTGCACAAGACAAATTCTAATTCCACTGTCATTGAGGGCTTCTTTGGATGAAGCCCATGGGGACAGCTGTTCTAGGAAATGCAGAGAGAAGGTCTGAAAGGGCAGCATATAATGGGAGATGCTTCCCCTATCCTGGCAGTCTTTCTCAGAGAAGGAGGAGGAGGCAGGTAAAGGCCAGGACTGTGCAGCTGCTGAAAGAACTCTAGTGAAGCTGCCCAGCAGCCAGTCCCCAACAGGGGCCACTGTGCAGTCCTTGTCCCTCCCTGACCCCCAGATGCCTTCCTATTCTGATTCTGAATTGTGGTATTGGAGAAGACTCTTAAGAGTCCCTTGGACTGCAAGGAGATCCAACCAGTCCATCCTAAAGAAGGTCAGTCCTGGGTGTTCATTGGAAGGACTGAAGTTGAGGCAGAAACTCCAATACTTTGGCCACCTGATGCGAAGAGCTGACTTGTTCGAAAAGACCCTGATGCTGGGAAAGATTGAGGGCAGGAGGAGAAGGAGATGACAGAGGATGAGATGGTTGGATGGCATCACAAACTTGGTGGACATGGGTTTGGGTAGACTCCAGATGGACAGGGAGGCCTGGTGTGCTGCGGTTCATGGGGTCACAAAGAGTCCGACACAAATGAGTGACTGAACTGAACTGAACTGAGATTGCTCTTATCAGTCATTAGCAACTGGTGTGAGTGAGATGCCCACACTCTCTCCTGGAAGCAGTTTTGATGGAGGGATTTGCTCAGAGAGCTCTGCTCAGAGGGCTCCTCCCCTTGAAGACAGCAAGCTGCTGATCTCCTGATTTGCTGACTGCCAGGCTCTGGAATAAGAAGGGTTAATTTTTCCTGCTTTAGTAAACGGGAAAAGGATGAAGAAAGAGGAAAGGAGATTGCTTAGGGTTGGTTTTGCCTGCATTTTATCTATCTATCTGCCTGTCTATCTATCATTTTGTCTTATTGTGTTCCATTAATTCCTAAGACCGAATATCCAGGGACCCTTACCCTCACTCTTAATAGAAGGGGGTGACCAGTTCAGTTCTGAGTTTTCTGGGAGCCAAAGCAAAAAGATCAGTGTAGGATTCCGTTTTCACAGATAAAGACCAAGTATTTAGCAGAACAGCTTTTCCTGATATTAAGAGTTAAGAGAGACTTTTCCCAGGAATGCTCACAGAGGTGACCCTGCAGGACACAGTGGACAGCTGTTCTTAGCACGCTGCCCCGTGGACTGTCCTGCAGTCTCCTTGAGCACTCGGCAAGCCTGTCCCAAAGGTTAACTCCAAGGTGAAAGCATCCCTGGAATCTGACCTAATCTAAGAACATAATTCAGCACATCTACCCTCCACGTGGACCCGCCTACCACCCCGCAGGGCACCCTCTGTGACCTCTCCTGTGAGACTCTGCTCTGCACAAGGACAGACAACAAGGAATGAGGCATCCTTCTCTGGCAGGAACTGCAGGACAAGGAGAGTCTCCATGCTAATAGAGGTTCCCACATTGAGAAGACTCGTAAAGATGGTGGCAGGGCTGACAACCTCCTATGCAATTAAAGACTCTTATGCAAGCGGATATACCTGAGGGCAGGACCAGCACATTTTTTTTTTTTTTTCAGGAAACCACACAGCATAGACTGGTAAAGAATGTGGACTGTGAGGTCAGAAGGACTTGGCTTAAATTCCTGGCTTCATCACTTTCTAGCATTTTAGTTCAGTTTAACCATTCTGAGCCTCATTTCCTCCAGGTATAAAAAGGGGAAAATAATAATACCCATCCAGTGGGTTTGCTGAGAGAATTATATACAATAACGAATTCAAAGGTTAAACCCAACTTCTGGCCCAAAGTAAGCTCACTGGTGACATTACTGATGACGTTATTGTAATATTTAACAAAAAAGAATTAATAGGCACATTTAAGGGACTTCCCTGGTGGCTCAGTGGTAAAGAATCTGCCTGCCAATGCAGGAGATGCGGGTTTGATCCCTGGGTTGGAAAGATCCCCTGGAGAAGGAAATAGCAACCCACTCCAGTATTCTTGCATGGAAAGCCCCACGGACAGAGGAGCCTGGCAGGCTATAATCCATGGGGTTGTTAAGAATTGGACACAACTGAGCTGCTAAACAACAACAAGGCACATTCAAACACATGGAAAATAGATATTTTGGATGCCAGGATTTTCTGCCATAGAATGTGGCTCCAGTAATTTAAGCCTAGAAAAAATTGGAAGCACAAATAACTAATTATCCAATAAAACCCTCCCAGTCATCCATAAACAATATTACTTCCTGCCAAGCCATCTGAGAAATATTTGCTGCAAAATACACCCCCAGAAAACAAATGATTTGATTCTATTTTATATGATACTGACTATAAATTGATTAAATATTGAGGGGCTTTTGTGGGAAATGATTTTTATTTGGGGAGAGTTGCTCTTCAGCCATTCTTGCTGGTAATAAACAGTCAATAGGGTCATATGTGGTAAGCCCATTCCCAGGCCATTCCTAGCACAGAACTGGTGCCCTCCCATTCTCGAGAGTGCTTAATGGTATCAGCAGTTGTTGTTGTTAGGTAGTTAGAATAGGGAAAAAGAGTCCAAAATGGTGGTGGCTAAAAGACCTGGAAGGGAAAGCCCTCGAAAATAGAACAAAAGAAGGTCCGAGGACCGGAGTGAGAACCTCAGGTAAAACAAACAACACTCCTGGCTGGCCCAATTTACAGAAGACAGGCCCAGGGACAGAGAAACATATAAACAGAGGAGCCAAAGCTCTCTTCTCTCTCTCTCTCTCTCCCGCGCGATGGGGTGACCTTCTCTTCGCGTCTTTGGATCGACGT